ATAAGCCAGGGAACTACGAGCCAGTGACCCTGACATCAGTGGTAGGCAATTTACTGGAGAGGATACTGAGGAACAGGGTCGACCAAAATTTGGTTAGTCAAGGTCTGATTAGGGATATTCAGCATGTACTTATGCGTGGGAAGTCATGTCTGATAAATCTTAGAGTATTTCGAAGAGGTGACCAGAGGATAGATGAGGATAGGGCAGTGGATGTTGTCTACATGGACTTTAGTAAGGCCTTTGACAAGGTCCCACATGGCAGGCTAGTCATAAAGGTTAGGTTGCATGGGATCCAGGGAAAGCTAGCTAATTGGATTCAAAATTGGCTCCATGGTGGGAAGCAGGTGATGGTTGTTTCTCAGATTGGAGGCCTGTGACTCATGGTGTGCCACAGGGGTCGATGCTGGGACCTATGTTATTGATCTGGATGTGCATGTACAAGTTTGCGGATGATACAAAATTAGGAGGAAAGTTATCAAAAATTACAGAGGGATCTTGATCAGATGGGGAAGCGGGTTGAGGATTGGCAAATGCAATTCAATACAGACAAGAATGAGGTGTCGCACTTTGGAAAGTCACATCAAGGTAGGATTTATACAGTAAATGGTACGGTCCTGAGGCGTGTTGTGGTACAGAGGGACCTAGGAGTACATAGTTTGTTGAAAGCGGCATCACAGGTAGACAGGGTGGTGAAGAAGCCATTTAGCATGCTGGCTTGCATCAATCTAGGCACTGAGTATAGGAGTTGGGACGTTATGTTACAATTGTATGAGACATTGGTGAGGCCGCACAGTATTGTGTACAGTTTTGGTCATCCTGTTATAGGAAAGACATAGTTGAACTGGAAAGCGTGCAAAGAAGATTTACAAGGATGTTGCCAGGATTAGTCAGTATGAGTTATAGGGAGAGGTTGGCCAGGATAGAACTTTATTCTTTGGAATGTAGGAGAATGAGGAGTGACCTTATTCATGTATATAAAAGCATGAGAGGCATAGATAGGATGAATGCATATAGTCTTTTTCCCAGGGATGGGGAATTGAAAACTAGAGGGCATAGGTTTAAGGTAAGAGGGGAAAAGATTTAAGAAGGACCTGAGGGGCAACTTCTTCATGCAGAGAGAGTGGTATGTATATGGAATGGGCTGCCAGAGAGAGTGGTTGAGGCAGGTACAATAGCAATATTTAAAAAAACGTTTGGATAGGTACATAGATGGGAAAGGTTTAAGACAGATATGGACCAAATGCGGGCAATTGGAACTAGCTGAGTGTGCACCATGGTCAGCATGGACCAGTTTGGGCTGAAGAGCCTGTTTCCATGCTGTTTTAGTCTTTGACTCTATATAGTTTTATTTCATTTCATATAATGACACTGCATGGAAAATACTTAGATAGCAGCAGTTCAGGGCTGTGTTATCATGGTCTGTGCTTAGCATTTACAAAATCAATAACCTAGTCCAAAAAATCTAAGAAATACTGGCATTTAAAATATCTTATTGTTGGGAAAAGTATCGCTCCAGGAATATTATCAGTTTTCCTGGTGGGTAATAAAACAAACAGACTCAATGATCGTATTTCATAGTTTTTCTACTCATGACAAATTTAACTAGTTGCAAACTTACAAATGCAATTGGAAAAAGCTGAAGTGTCATAACTATACATTTAACATTTACAGATGTATCATCACAATATTTTTAGAAAAATCTTTGCATTCGACTAGTACAATGGAATAAAAATGAAGTAATAAAGGTGTAAAATAGTAATATTAGTGAGCATCAGGACTGTTCCTTTATCAGATACATAGCCTGAAAGTTAACAACTAACCTGTGCACCTCTTGTCAGCACATGATAGAACAAGATTCCAAATAATCGCGCTAACTCACTCGTCCTTCCAATCAAATCCAGTTGTTCCAGCAACTGTAGGTTTCCACGCACACGGCAAACATAATGGTCAACCATTTTCCACCTATAACAAAATGAAATATACTGAGCATTGGAAGCACCAAAACACTCCTGAAAGTAATATATTTATTGTAGCATTAAGCTTACAAAGAAAGGTCTCACTTGTATCTGTCCAAAGTCCTAAATTAACTTGTTCAATGGAGCAATTATTTGTTATTTAAAAAACAGAAAATAAATCTATCCCCCTCTTTTGTTTACGAAGACGGACAAAAATAAACTTTGGGGTAAATGGAACACAATCCCAATTTCAGGTCAGATAGAAGATGTTATAAAAAAAAAAATGACTAGACTTCTGACTAGTCATCAGCTCCTTCAAAGAATTGGAGAAGCACAAGTAGGCTGTGTACGAGTTTACTGTATTGAATTTGTGTGACAATGGGAACACTGTGAACTTGCCAGAGTCATATATACATATGGTATTGTGCACTGTAAGTTAACTCCAGACATGAGGGATTTGAAATGACTAAAGACTTGCTACATTAATGATGACTAATTCAGCACCTAACTACTAAATGGGACCAATGTCCAAAAAAGAAGAGAGGAAGCCTGTGAAAACCCACTAGGTGACAAACTCTGAGCAGTTGTGTTTCTAGCCTGCCATCTTGACACTCTGAGGTGAAGGTGAAGATCTATGCTACACAGATAAAGACACTTGTACTATCTGATCTACAAAACAAAAAGATTTCCAAAAACTAAACACAAAAAAGGCCACTATTGTTAACTAGGCTGTTTTCTAGGTTTGATAGACTCACTGCTTGGTGCATCTCATTGCTTCAGTTCAGGGCATTTTAAAATCTAAGCTGGGTTGAATAACTTGGTAAGCTTGAATCATATGAATATTATGCTATGAAGTGAGTATTTGTAACCCAAAAATCTAAATATAATCTAGATCAAAGCATACAGGGTAATTATTAAAATATAGCTGCAGGGGCGAGGTTACCTGTGTATATCAGTCTTATTATCAAACCAGTCAGATAGGACACGGCAGGAAAAGAGTGGAAAACGCTGGTGAAGAACATGAAAAGCTACATTCTCAAAAGAGTAATTGTTGAGAGCAACCTGCAGGAAGAAAAAAAATATAACAGTGCACAAAAATCATTGCATTTTATTCACAAACCTGGCCGTTGTGTACAGTTAACCTAATGTGATGGTAATCAAGTGTTAATATAGTTATCAAGCCAATTAATACTTAATACAGTGAGCAGCAGTTTGAATGAATATTAAAGTCCTTTATTTGCATTTAATAGGGCCAGTGTTCCATTATGACAAATACAGAAAGCTTATGAACACATACAATGCAATGACATTAATATTTCCCTTCAGTCTGTCAATTTGCCTGATTTGAAACAAAATAAATCAAATGAAATTTACACAATATATAAAAACAGATAGGGGACCCAGAACAGAACTCTGCTCAACTTCACTAATCAATATTTCCCAACAGTTTTGGCCTTTGCTGCAAGTCATTTCAAGTATCCTACAAATGTATCCTAAAAAGGATGCGTAACCAAGCATTTGCTATCATTTCAGCTGAATTTTCAATGACTGTTCTATTAGAAGACATGGAATCCAGTTAAAACATTCAGGAAATTGCAATAAAGACTGTGGAACCTAAAAGAAAGGAGATTATTTAGGACACTTTGCTTTAGAGTGCAGTTTAAGAGAAAGTCATTGCCTCAAAAGATAAATTTGCTAAAATTTATCATTAGAAAGTAAACCTGTCTTGTTCCCTAAACAAAGGGACAACTGTTCTTTTAGAATCACTTTTTCACTACAGGAATGCAGCTGTTTGCAAATGAATAGATACCTTCCTTTGACTGAAAGCTACTGCCCACAAACGTACGAACCAGTTGCCTATGATATTATTGCCAGTTTAAGGCAATGTTGGATTGCTTTAACTCTTTGCAACCTGTGCAAAAGTAGAGCTCAGCACTACAAAGACTGGTTGACAGGACCAATGTAAAAAAAAAGAGAGTATGCAAAGACAAAAAATCGAACAACTGTACTTTGTAACTTAAATTTACAGTTTTCTGATGATTATGGACATCATTTATTGCAAGATTATTTACTTGTAACAATGTAAAACACCCTATTTCCCATTAAACTCAGCCCAACAGGTAATCCAAACAGACATAATTCATTCACTCACTTCAATGTCCCTGAAGTCCTTTTTCTTCATTCATCCATTGCTTCATTTGTGATATAGTTACTGCCTCAGCCAACAGAATATTGGATGAACCTAAACTCTGTCGGGTTAGGAAGGTTCTGATCTTATACTTTACACTTAACCAGTTACCTCACTCCTCATCATTCTCCAAATGTTCAGAATGATCCGTCCTACAATGTTTATCTCAGACATGGCAGTTGCACCAAATTCATCTCTGTCCGGGGCAAACCGATTTTCTTTACTGTCGTCTGATAAAACAAAGATAAATTAGAACTTCACAATATATATTTTATTAAATCACTGCATACTATTCATATTTTATCATTCCCTTTGAAGTAGTCATTATCTTCACACAAAATGTACTTTGCTCCAAACTCTGCTGACAGCTAACAGTACAGAGAGGATTTCTAGCATAGCCCAGCTTCACTGCCTGGTCCCTATCAGCTATATAATTGCAATAAGGTTGTAAATCAATTGATGGAAACTAATGCTCTTCCTTGGCTGGCCGGTGGAGTGGGGGGGAGGCGGAGAGCACTGAATCAGATAATAGGATGGTGGGTGGGATTCTGTTACCTCCAATAATTATTCCAGTTAAGTCTGCCATTGGAAGGCCACTGGACAGCCTTCCTGAAGCTGCCGTGGGCAATTAATGCCTATTTAGGTGCCTCATCCTGTCACAGCTGATATTTGCCCTGAGAAGGTGGGATGTCTCCAACATGGCAGCATGGGAAAATGAACCTTGTCCAACAGACCTGCCAACTTTGGCGATTGGGTGGGGGTACTCCTCAGTCAGGCACCTGCCGAGAGCCATGCCACTGTCCACCTCTCCCTGAAATGCTTACCTCGGGGATCTACACCAACCTCTCACTTATCTGTAGCCTGAGCAATCCTGGGTCTCGAGTGTCTGCATCACCAACAGCTGTGAATCAGCAGCTCTTGGCAGACAGGATTTTGTCTCCGGGGTTCTTGAACCCAGGGAAGGCCTCTGAATGTATAGTTAAGTGCATGATCGTCATTTAATGCCACAGACCTTCCTACAGGGAAAAAATGGTAAGGATTCTCACAGCACTCTAGTTGGACCCTGTAATCTGCATTAAATTCTTCCTAGGAAGTGGACATATTTAAGAAGTTCAAGAAATGTGATCTCCATACATCACATATTGTGCAAGCTTTGTAGCTTATATTTTTCGCTCCTACATCACCATTTTGCAATACTTCAGCTGCAAGTGCCAAATGAATGGCCTCTCTCAGTCTGCAGACCTCAGCAGAGATATTAGTTTTGACTGATTTGATTCATTCCATATGATATTGACAAACGGCTGGAGGCACTGGATACTGCAAAAGTACTAAGCCTTGACGACAGCAATAGAACTGAAGACTTGTTCTTCAGAACTAGCCTTGTTCCTAGCTAAGCAATTCTGGTACAGCTACAACAGTGGCATCCACCAGACAATGAGAGAACTGATCAGGTATGTCTTGTGCACAAGAGCAGGATCAATCCAACCTACAGAATTACTGCTCAATCAGACTACTCTCAATCAAAATGATGGAAGTTGTCATCACCAGTGCAAACAAATGGCATAAAGGGAGGAGACGTTTTCCAAGTGACATTGTAACTGGGATAGTAAACCAGAACCCAAGGATAATGCTCTGGGCACATGAAATTCAAATTTTACTGTGGGATTTGAATTAATAAAATCTGGAATTAAAAAGCTAGTCCAGTGGAAACTATGGAATCACTGGTTATGGTTTAAAAATCCATCTTGTTCACTAATGTTCATGGGGGAAGGAAAGCTGTTGTCTTTACCTGGTCTGGCCGAAATGTGACTCTAGACCCACAACAATGTGGTTGACTATTAACTACCGTCTGGACAATTAGAGATGGGTGACAAACACTGGCCAAATCAACTGTACAACATCTCATGAATGTGAATTAAAATAAAGGATTAACCTGCTCACTGACATTCAGGTTGGATTCTGCCAGGGTTACTCAGCATGACCTCATTACAACCACACTTCAAACATGGACAAAAGAGCCGAATTCCAGAGGCGGGGTGGGGGGGTGGGGGGTGGTGCCTGCAAGATTTAAGCTTCCTCTCTCTTTCAACAGGTCTGTTCTTAATTTCCAGGTCCTTGCTGCTGGCAAAGGTTTCAATCATTTCAGAGTAATCTCAACAAGGGCATCTAGGAAAGCGTGAGGGAGAACAGAATTGAACAATACAGCAGAGAGTTAAATAATGTTGGCAGAAATACTGAAATTGATTGCCCTGTTTCTGTATAGCAAATTCTATCATTTCATATGGAGTGATTTATTCCCATGCATTGCTTATTCCACATTGAATGCATTGGAACAGGAAGCCAAAGAGGATTCTTTTTCTGAAAAATGTATTGTAAATTTTAAATTACTAAATACCTGGAATACGGGAGACCATCCGACAAAGATCAAATTCTAATGCAGCAGCTCGCTGAAAAAGGTAACTCCAAGAATGCATCTGAACTTCATATCCGAGCAGAATGTCAGGGTCATACCTAACAAGTTCAATATGATTATTTAATTTATTCAATGAATCTTTCTAGGCAAAGAATACAACATGCATAGATTATTTGGAAAGTCATATTTCATACAGAATGAGAACCATTTCCACAATGCCCTTGGTAGACTGACTTACTTGCACTTCCACACCATGCCTTGAACAAAGTGCCTCTGTGTATCCTCCCTCACTTCTTTTGAGCATGGGACAATTTAAAGCACAGGTCAGAGAATAGCACTTCCAGCAATATCTCCTCCTCCCACTAGTCCCCCCACATGCCTACCTCAAGTATCTCCACTAGGGACCTGACTTTGGCTGTTTCTTATTCCTCATTCACTTGCTGCCCCTCAGTGATACCAGTTCCATCACGTTCCCTGGTCACCGTCTCAGGCTGAATCCAATTTTCACAACCTGTCAGCCTATTTAACTGAGCTTCACCTCTGACTCGATATCGTTTTCATTACAACAATTGCCAATTTCCCTTATTGTAATATCATCCACCTCCTCTTTTGCTTCTTGCTTTCTTTTCTCACACCTCCACTGAACTTTCTACAGTCAGCTTAGCCCTCAGTTGTCTTTATCAATACCATTTGTCTTGTAATCCTTTTTCTGCTTCATCTTGCTCTCCATCTCTTTTTGGTCGCCCAGAGAGCCCTGCTTTGGTTGTCCTACCTTTCTCTTTTGTGGGAATGTATCTGAAACACTTTTAACAGTTAGCCCAATGTTCTACTTGGAGATAGCAAGAACTGCAGATGCTGGAAGTCAGAGTCAAAACAGTGGAGAGCTGGAAGAACACAGCAAGTCAGGCGGCATCAGAGCAGGAAAATTGACGTTTCGGGTCAGGACCCTTTATCCGATGAAGGGTCCTGACCTGAAACGTCGACTTTCCTGCTCCTCTGCTGCTGCCTGCCCTGCAGTGTTCCTTCAGCTCCACACTGCATCAATTCATTGTAACCAAAATGGGTTAGTATTACTTTGATGGGCCTACAAAGAGCAAACAGCTAGTTGTAAAAAGATTCCCATCAGCATTAAGACAGCGCCCTATTGTCCTAATTTACTCCCTTTCAAAAGGGATTTTTTTGTACTAAAAATGACACATCCTTTATTGTCACAACAAATACAATATGGTAGGGGATGGGTGGGGCAATGAAAAATGGTTAAGAAATTCAGTTATCAAATAATTATAACATGATGATAATACCTTCTAATGTTATTAATGAGTTCTTGAAACAGTTCCTTCTCATCATTTACATAAGAAACTTGGAGACCTGTGACACCAGATCTAACAAGCAGTGGGACTTTGTTCCTGAGTCCTGAAATAAAGAACGCACACTGCCATTTTACTCATGTCAAAATGTAATAGACCCCTGAAATTTAGAATAACAGTGCTGTAAAATTGCACAGTAGCTCAGATCAAATGGCATAAACCAGAGATCAGCATTCACAAACATCCATTACCTCCACCGACACACAGTACACACCGCTGCTATCTACAAGACGCACTGCAGAAATTCAAAGATCCTGAGACAACACCTTCCAAACGCAAGACCACTTTCCTGCTCTTCTGATGCTGCCTGACCTACTATGTTCCTACAGCTCCACAGGGTATTGACCCATTGTTCTACTCTACTGCTGGTAACAGTGCAACAGGACAGAGGGCAGAAGATACATGGGGACACCACCTGAAAAACCTCCTCCAAGCCACTGACCATCCTGACTTGAAAATACATTGGCATTCCTTCACTGTCTTTGGGTCAAAATTCTGGAATTTTCTCCTTAAGGGCATTATGGATCAACCTACAGCACGTGGGCTGCAGTGATTCAAGAAGGCAGCTCACCACCACCTTCACTGGTAACTAGGACAGGCAATAAACGTTGGCCAGCCAGTAATGTCCACGTCCCACAAGTAAATTTTTTTAAAAGTCCTATTTGTTGAAATGAAACCGCGGCTAACTTATTTTTAAAGATTAGCAGATACAGGGCAAATATATAAAATATTACGAAACTGAAGTGGGCTCCAATCTGCGTATTGCACTACACAATTTTAAGTAACTGGGGAGACGGTAGCATTATTTTGGTGTCATTGGACCAGTAATCCAGAGGTCCAGTCTAATACTCTGGACAGATGGGATCAAATCTTGCCAGACGGCTGGTAGAATCTACATTCAATCACTAGTTCTGGAACTGAGATGTAATGTAATGGCAAACAATTATTATTACCCCCCAAGCCATCTGGTTCATTAATATTCTTTAGAGAAGTGTTGAGACCATCGCTAGTTTTCTTTTATTTTTTGTATTTTTCGTTTGGAACTGAAAATTGAAGTTCAGAATCGAACTTTGAACAGCATTTTATAGTAAAAAGGAGAGAGCCAAAGACTGATGTTTGTTGTTGGGAACTGGCCTGAAAAGGTCACACACTCAGAACACTACAGATAATTTGGCAGAGTTGTTCTTATATTCAGGGATTGGCAGCTGATTGGATGTTGAATTGGTCAAATAAGGGAGGACTGGTCCTGGCCAGCCAATCACAATGTTAAAAAAAGACAGACAAAACAAATTGACAGACAAGGTTTTGGGCAGGATGCAGCTTTGCTTTGGAAGCTGCTGGACTGGGCTTGGTTTTACTCTCTCTAGTTATTCTCCAGTTACCAACTTGTTGAAAGTTCGGAGAAAAGAATCCTAATCTGTAAGAAATAAGTAAACTGTCTTCAAAGATCTACGGAAGTTGTCTGACCCATGACTTTAGAACTCAAGCAAGATACGCAGTCATGTGTGCCTCCAATACAACCTGTTGACCAAGGATTTCATGAAGGCTTGGCATCAAACTGGTAAACTACGATTCTTTTATTTTCTTTATTTAATTTAGCCCCTAAATGTGTCTATTTGTCTGTCAGTGAGTCAATATATTCAAAGAAGATTTGGCTTGGATCGTAAATATTAGATTGTCGCTATTAGATTGTCATGTAGTTTCTGTATTCTGCTAAAGTTACATTCTTAATAACTTGTTAATTTTTGTTTAAGTTATAAACTTAGTCTCCAAGGTGTGTTATTTGTTAAGTCTGGTTAGGAACAACTGAGCAATTTTGAAGGTCATTAAAATGGGTCCAGTTCAGTATATTGTGAATCTACTGAGACTGATTTAGTTTGGCTTGCAATCTCTGATGTTGTAACATAGTGAAATTTATCATCCTTACCTGGTCTGTAGGACTCTAGACATGTGGTTGACATTTAACTGCCTTTTGCATTGGGCTGGCAAGCTACTCAGATCAAGGTCGATTAAGAATGGGCAACAAATGCTTGCCTTGCTGGTGACGCCAACATTTCATGAAAACATTAGAAAAATAACCGATATTTCACATGATAGAATCTAACTTTATAAATTTTAAAAACTCATTGAATCAGCTAAGTTGGTCCATCAATCCATAAAGTGTGATTAAGAAACACAAAGATGTCATTTCCTGCAGTCCAAATATAAATGAGGAGTTTACCTCCAACATATTAATACATTGAAATATCAAACAAAGCAGATTAGGAAGTCTCCAGGTTTAATCTTTGCAATGTGCTAAAATTGACAGATTTTCAGTTGGGCATTGGAACACCAAAGTGAAAGAAAATCTCTATTCCTGGTTCTGCAGTTACTATAGTTGGAACATATCGATTTTGGACAAGGGTGGACTTAGTCTTTGTTATGTCTCCTCACAATATGTACAGTTAAACAAAAGCCAATAATTAGGGAAGTGATGGCCTAGTGGTACCATCGTTAGACTATTAATATTCTGGGGTCCCTGGTTTGAATCCTGCCACAACAAATGAAGGAATTTGAATACTAGTGCCCGATAGGGAAGGAAACTGCCATCCACACTTGACCCACACATCACTCCAGACCACAACAATGGGGTTGGTTCTTAACTGAGCGATTTGGGATGGACAATAAATGCTGGCTAGGACAGTGATGCACACATCCCTGAATGTGTATTTAAAAAAAAAAAATCAGATTTGAGAAACCAGAAATAAGTTTAGGTGTAAAAGTAAATATACCCTTCAGTTAACCAGTGATTCTAAAATTTTCCAATAGCAGTTTCTTGAGATCAACACTACCACACAGTAGAAAAGCTTTTTCTTTTTTGTTTTTAAGAAATGCCCTTGGGTCATTCCAAAAAAACAGCTATTGGATATTTTTCTACATTAAAATGCATTACTCAGCAAGTTATTGGAGTTACTGGACTTGGACTGAATAATCTCAATGAAATTTAATCTAAATGAATGCTTCCTTTGGAAAATAAAGTAGTTTGCACTTGCTTAACACGGCGGTTATTAGCATCGCTTTAAGGCAGCACCCACAACCTCTGCTACCAAGAAGCACAAGGGCAGGAGATGTATCAGAACACCTCCAGCTCCAGTCAATACACACCATCCTGGACTTGGAAATGTATTGTTGTGCCTTCACTACTGCTGGTTCAAAATCCTGGACACCAGTTCCCAACAGTCCTGTGGATGACTCTACGTGCCAAAGACTGCAGCAGTTCAAGGCAGCAGCTCACCACCACCACCACCTTCTTTAGGGTAACTAAGGCTAGTGAAACCAGTATTGCCCACATCCCACGAACGAGTAAAATAATACACAATATAACACTGCCATTGCACATTTCCACTCAAAATCAAAGTGTGGATAGTGGAGCAGTTTCTTAACTTTCATGCACACTCATTTTATTATTCACACAATAATTAAATAACTGTTTGTCCTATTGCTTCATACCAGAAGAGGAAGTGTCTTTGTTGGAGCAGATATGGTTCTTATCAATTACTATAGCACCAATAACTTCAGTTTTGTTTGTTTTTGGAAGTAGTGAATCAGAAGAAACACAGTAGAATAAGGCACAGATTGGATCAAATTCAGGGTCGGGCTCCAAATCGCGTCTTGAGCGAGCATGTAACTCCATACTCATAAGTACAAGGTACTGCACCTGAAAACAGAAACAGTTCAGAAGGATAATACACATTACCCTAAATTTATTCATCATGAAATTGTAGTAGGCTTAATCTAAGCGGAGGGTGTTAAAAAGCTAGTATCAAAACAGAAAATGTTGGAAATATTCAGCAGGTCAGACAGCATCTGAAGAGGCCAAAACAGTTAATATTTCAGCTCTGTAATGGAACGTTGCAGAGCTGAAATGGCAAGATCCCCTCCAACACATGCACTATTCTGACTTGAATGTATACAGTCATTCCTTCAGTGTCATTGCGTCAAAATCATGAAATCTCTCCCTAATTTCATTGTGGGCCTACCTACAGCACATGGACTGCAGCAGTCCAAGGAGACAGCTCACTACTGCCTTCTCAAGGGCAACTAGAGATGAGCAATAAAGGCTGCCCCAGCCAGTGATGTCTACCTCCCAGGAGTGCATTAAAAATCCTCTCCCTCTCCAAGGAAGCTATCAGATCTACTGAATAATTCCAGCATCCCCTGTTTTTCTACCACCCCCCACCAGATTTCAGGCATCCATAGTATTTTACTTGCGTAGAAATTCTGATTTTTTTTTCAAATTCTGTTTTGAAACAACAAATTAAGAAAATACTCAAGCTTAGAGCACATTTTCCTGAGCTTTGTATACTCTTATGGAAAAAGAATTTCAACCTTCGTTAAGTATAGCTAACTCAGCAATTGCAGACCTGTCACTTGTGGAGAATCTACTAGAATTGATTGTCAGGAACAAAGTGACAGATGCTTATAAAAGTACAAGATGATCTGATAGCCTGTTTGGATTTAGGCAGTGTCTGGCTAATTTAAGTGAATTTTCTGAACAGGTCACTGGATTGCTGTCTATGGATGTTGCCTATTTCTATTTTCAGAAGCAATAAAGTTCAGCAAAAATAACAGAACTGGAATCACTTATGATACAAGTTGGGAGGTGGGATATATTTGGAATAAAAGGAACAGATTTATGAATGTGGCAGATGAAGTGGCCCAGGGATCTGTACAGAGCTTTTCACTAAAATGAAGGAAAAAGAGTAGCGTATTTGATGTCAAATTGTAAGCTGCATCGATGGAAGGAGAAGGTTACAAAGGCACACAGATAAATGAATGGTCGAAACTGTGGCAGATGGAGTTCAATGTGGGACAATCTGAGTTTATGTACCGTAAATAAAAACTGGAAGAACTGCAGATGCTGTAAATCAGAAACACAAACAGAAATTTCTGGAAAAGCTCAGCAGGTCTGGCAACATCTGTGGAGAGAAATCAGAGTTAACATTTTGGATCGAGGGACCCTTCATCATAACGGGTCTGAGGAAGGTCCCTCGTGCTGAAATGTTAACTCTGATTTCTCTCCACAGATGCTGCCAGACCCGTAAGCTTTTCCAGCTATTTAGTTTTATTACTGAGTTTACGCACTTCAGATTTGAGGAAGGCAAATTCTGACATTTGTTCAACGAGGGTAATGGCGGAGAAGGCTCATATAGATCTTGATTTGCATGTACATTTCTAGTGATACATGAACTTCTAGTAAAAAAAAAGGACAAACAGAATGCTAGCCTTTATCGCTCCCATTGATTTGGATACAAACTGAGGAAAGCATGCTTCAGTCACACACACCTGTGACCAGACCTCTTTTGATACAGTGTATTCGTATGTGGGTACCGAACATCTATAGGTGTAGTAACATTAGAACAAGCAAGCAGGCTGCATGATTTGGTTCACATATTTTTGATTTTACAATGTTGAAAATTATCTGATAAGATTGTTGCAGTTGAAAGTGATTGGAAAAAATTGGTAGATGCTGAGGAAATATTTCCGCTGGTAAGGGGAAGCCTTCATGACAATGGCAGGCAATCTTAAAAATCAGAACCACCCTCCTTTATTTTGCTCAATAATAGATTTGTCTTTACTTCTCCTTCGCACTCGTACTTTTCTAGTTTATCTTTCAACATATCTTTGCTTGTTGCATCAGCTTCTATATATGTTATAGAGTTCCACAGTCCAACCAGATTCTGGATAAATAATTTTCTCCCAATTTCACAACTGGATTTCTTAGTAATTATCTTAAACTTTACAGCCATTAGTTCTGATTTACCCTGCAAGTGGAAATACTTTCTCTACATCCGTCCCAACAAGTTTGATCTATTACATTTTTCTTTTATCTAAAAAAAACCCATCTGTTCAATCTTTCCTGATAATATAATGTCAGTTCTGGTACCATTCTAGTTTGCTGCACCTTAATGTTTCTCTGTTCTTTGCGTAATACAGACAGCAGAACTGCTCACAGTACCCCAAGGGAGGTACAACTAAGGTCTATGCAAGTCTACCACAACTTTTCAGTCCAACCTTCTAGAAATGAAGCCAGTACTTAACATAACAAGGTGTAGAGCTGGATGAACACAGCAGGCCAAGCAGCATCAGAGGAGCAGGAAAGCTGACGTTTCGGGTCTAGGGCCAAAACGTCAGCTTTCCTGCTCCGTTCATCCAGCTCTACACCTTGTCATCTCAGATTCTCCAGCATCTGCAGTTCCTACTATCTCCAGTACTTCACATCTTTTTTTAGTAATCATCTTATTAACCTTTGCTACGATTTAATACCTCATGCAAAGCTTTTGCCTCCTGGAGGTTTTGTTGGCTGACTTTGAAGCCGTAAGTGTTGTTCAGAGTTGGTCCTTCTATCTGAGACATACTTTTCTTAGCAGATTGAAAGGCAAACTGATTCTGGAAAAGTGCACAAACATGGTCACATACAGTTGCGAAATAGCTTTAATACTAAAAACTTCTTTTAAAATAAAGTCATTGCAGTTTCTCTAGATATTTACCAGCTAATAGGAGAACCACACACAAGACACTGAATTACCTCAATGCCAAATTGACTAGCAGGCATGAGTCTGTGCTTCTGATGCCTTAAAGAAATTTCAATGAATGGCATTGTGTTTATGGGATGTTGCTTGTATCTGCAGTGACCCAATTCCAGATGTTATGTAGATGCAAGTGTTTTCCTTTGCAGATGGATCATGTAAAACACATTGAGTTGGTACATATTAATGACCACTGTAACCAATAAGGTGGTTCCAAAGAACTAAAAAGTTTCAGAGCATTAAAACCATGAACTAGTTACACAATGAACCAAGAAATCTTTAGAATGATAATTTTCTTTGTGTAGAATGATTTGCTCAGTTCATACAGATGCCCTGATAAATCACAACCACTATAAATGAGGTTTTATATTAAGTTTACAATAATATCTAACAAATGAATGGTACACATAAGCATACACTCTGCTCACCAGCACATCAGCATTAAAACAGACTGGTGCAGACTCAATGCGCCTGTCCCTGTGCTGCAGGTCTCCAATTGTAGGTCATGCCTTGCAATGCCTTTAAAAGTTTGGGAAGTCAACAGTTTCATACCGATCAATGCTACGAAAGCATTCGATAAAATTGCTCCCCAACATTGTTCAGCTCCTACATTTGACTCGAATTGAAAGCAAGGATTTGTATAATAAACAAAAAATTCACAAAACCAAACTGTCAAAGTTCAGCACAGCGTAACATGCAGATTAACTAAGACCAATATCTGGTAACAGAAACTTAAAAACAAAAAATAGGAGCAGGAGTAGGCCATTTGGCACTTCAAGCCTACTCCACCATCCAAATGATCATGGCTGTCGTTCTACACAGCATCCGTATTGATGACTGCACTGGGAGCAAACAATGATGTGCAAGCATAAGATATTGCATGTTAAGACCTTTCTGAATATCCATTTTACACAGAAGCTTTAACATTAATGGATGTTATATTTGCAGTGATGTTTTTGCTTTCCAGTTTCTATCCAGTATTAACAGTTGTTAATTATATCCAATGTTTAATTGACCTTGCACCAAAGAAATATAAAACTCTGGTGATAATGTAGTACCTAGTGAAAACAGACAAATTATTCAGTAACAACTTGAATTAGGAGATTTAGTCTTTCTTCAGAGCAGTAAGAAACACATTGTGCCAGAGTCATCCACAATAATAGACTGCGCTAGCTATCCCCGATGGTTCCTACCTTGCCTAACAAAGAGTAATGGATGCTCCTGCCCAATGTGTAGCTCCAAGTGGTGGTGATTTCCCACCCTGGTCTCTGCTTAGTTTACCCACTCAGTACATCCACTTAGGGGGAAGAAACAGAAACCAGCAAGTAAGATTTCCACATCTATATTGTGAAATCTCTGGATGCTTCCTTTTTAAACAAAAAGGAGTCAATTGGCTCCAAACTGCAATACACTCCCTCATTTTCACTGTTGATTAGGATTGAGGATCAGGAAAAGTGGCCAGTGTTCAAAGTCGGAGCATTCAGTTAAGATTGGTCAGGTGTGGCAACTAATTATTGGAGCACACTATGTTCTAGTGTGAAAAATGTGGCAGTCAATTTTCAGTCTACATATAAAACTAAAACATCGAAACCGTGTTTGGCTATATAGAAGTAGTTAAATATTGCTGAAAAGACAGAGATGTTGTTGAAGTTGCATTAATCAGTGCATGATGAAAAGCTTCGGCAACATGGTCTTTCAGCAAAAAACGTATCTGAAGCTTGACCTCTCTATTTTAGAGATCACCACTTAAGTTAGCCCCCTGGCAACAGCAGGATCTTGATTACTTAATTTAGCTTTCCATAACATAGTAAATGTTTGGCCATTTTGATGTTCTTCATTGGAAATGTTTTTCTCCAAAATTCTCCAGTGAAAAATTGTAATTAAACATTTTCTTTCCCCACACCAGGCATTAAGTAAACATTAACTCATCTTCGATCTGCCAAAATACTGATGACAAACCACAAATATAAGCGTGCTGAGACACGTACAGGTTTAACAAATCCTTTGCTGTTGTATAGCAAATTCAAACGTCTGGAAGGTGGGAGAAGGAACTGCACTTTCATGTATACCTAAAGACAATGCAGATGAACCTTCACCTTTTGTATTACCTTAACTTGAGTTGTCAGTAGTACTCGCCTCAAGGAATCAGAATTACTTCCCCTTCTTTGACTTGTCTTCTGAAGCCTAGGCTCTGAATAGATTAAAAGGATTTGAATAATAAACAAAAAAATTCACAAAACCAAACTATCAAAGTTCAGCACAGCATAACATGCAGATTAACAAAGACAATATTTGTTAACAGAAACATTTAAAGAAAAGAATTAGAGTAGGCCATTTGGCACTTCAAGTCTTCTCCACCATTCAAATGATCATGGCTGATCATTCTACTCTGTTCTATTTCCTGTTTTCTCCCCATAACCTTAGATACAAGCATTAAAGCTAAAGGGATCAAAGTTCTTTTTGTAAATATTCAATATTTTGGCCTCAACTTTTTTTTATTTTGCAGAGAATTCCACAAGCTCACCACTCGGTAAAATCTTACCTCATCTCGATGCTAAATGGTCTACCCTGTATCCTTAGTTTGTGCCTGCCCCCTTGGTTCTGGACTCCCTGGTCACTGGCAACATCCTTCCTGCATTTAAGGTGTTTAGTCCTGTTAGAATTTTATACATTTCTATGAGATTTCCCTTCATTCTTCTAGATTTCAGTGAACATAATCCTAAGCAATCCAGTCCGCCCTTAGCCAGCACGTCCTATCTCTGATAAGGAGACTCAAAACTACACAATATCTACCAGGTGCAGTCTCAACAAAGCCAGTACAATTGTAACAAGGCGTTCCTGTTCTTAAATTCTGTCACTATAAATGCCAACATACCACATGCCTCCTTCATCACCTGCATGCATACTTTCCGCAACTGGTGAACAACACTACCCAGGTCTTATTGTGCCTTCCACTTTCCCAATCTATCGCTATTCAGATAACCTCCATTCTTGTTTTTGCTACAAAGTGGATAACCTCCCATTTATCCACATTATACTTCACCTGCCCATTCACATTTAACTTGTCAAAATCACACTGAAGCATCGCTGAATCCTCCTCGCAATTCACCCTCCCATCCTGCTTTTTATCATCTGCAAACTTCGGAGGTATGATATTTAGTTCTTTCATGTAAATCGTTAATAAACATTGAGAATTGCTGTGGTCTAAACACCAATTTCTGCGGTAACCCAATAGGCCTTGCTGCCACCGAGAAAACTATCTGATTATTCATGCACTTCATTTCCTGTCTGCTATTGAGTTCTCTATCCATGTGCGAACACTATTCCCCAACCCAATGCTCTTTACATGCTAATATCATTGGAGACACCTTACTGAAACTCTTCTGAAACTCCCCGATCAACTCTACGAGCTACATCAAAACGTTCCAGTAGATTTGTCAAGCATAATGGCAATTTAATAAATCCATGCTGACACTGTCCAAACCTGTCACTATTTTCGAAGTGGAAGTGGTCAGCTATTAAATCTTTTATAACGGACTCCAGTATTTTCCCCACTATCGTACGTCAGGCTAACTGTCTATAATTCCCTGCTTCCCCTCTCCCTTTTTTAAAATAGTGACGTTACATCAACAACTTTCCAATCTATAGGAGCTCCAAAATCTTGAAAAATGACCACCAATGCATCCACTATTTCTAGAAACACTTCTTTAAATACTCTGGGATGTAGATTAAATCGGGCCCTGGGGACTTATTGGCCTTTAATTCTATGAAGATAAAAGAAATGAGGAACTGCTGTCAAGTCAAAGTAAAGCCCCAACAAACTTGCCCAAACACCTATGATGCTGAAAAAAGTTATAGCCCCATAATGCTGCAACACCATGAATCTTTGTGCTTTGCATGGCTCAAATGCTCTCTGGCTTACTCATTACAATATAATTTTACATGTCAATTAAAAAGGAACCATTGCAACTTATTTGCTATGTCTAGCTGTGTCTAGACATTAAAATAGGTTGACAGGTTCTTTTCAATGTTTTTTTAAAAAGCTAAGTGTTTCACTAACTACAAATGTAATTCAGCAACTATCAAGCTAAAAAAAAAACTGGATCACCAAAAGAATGACAGAATGAATAATGCCTCCTTAAATACCAACCATCCCATGTCCCTCCCTTTGCTCTCTTAAAGCCTCCCTTATAATCATCTCTTTGAACAAGTCTATGATAACCGTTCCTTGGCTTAGTGTCACATTACAAAAATGACAAAAGCAAAAAAATAGTCACAGATAGTAGGAACTGCAGATGCTGGAGAATCTGAGATAACAAGGTGTACAGCTGGATGAACACAGCAGGCCAAGCAGCATCAGAGGAGCAGGAAGGCTGACGTTTCGGGCCTAGATCCTTCTTCATTTCTGAATTCATTTCTCTTTATTTCTTCACTTCATACCACCAAGGCAGGCATTGAAATTTAAACTCAATAAATTCAATAATTCATTAAAAAAATCAGTCAGTGAAAGCTAGGTTCGGTA